CTTTCAGAGGAACTCTTCCTTCTCTTTATTTTGGAGGCTGTCATGCATGAATGTGATATTCAACCAAAGGAAGAAGTCAATATTCAAAAGGAAGTAAAGGAATGAGAATCACAGGGAAATGAAGCCTAAAATCACAGAATGATATGTCTCTGAAGCCCACTTCACTGCTGCATGTCTCCATGTGTGCACCAGTACATTTTCTTCCTTGTATAGGTCATGTGGAATCATATTTTATGTGTCCTGCTGCCCATTCAGCCAGAATGATATGGAGCCAAAAACAAATGTTGTATTGTGTGGATCCCACAAACACTATTCCCTAAGAAGATATTTTTTTTTAAATCACAGGCATCTACACCATCTGTCACTTTATATAAGTAAAAACTAAACAGAGAAAAGACATGTGACTGTCCAAGGCAATGCTATGAACCTAACAAAACCTAGGTTGAAATATTAATTTCTCTCCTAAATTTCCTTCCCCTGTATTGTATTTTTTTCACCATTAAGATCATCTATTAAACTAGAAAAAGTGTTCTATAAAAATGTCACCTTCATTCGGTAATAATTTGAATACATAATTATTCATCCAAGAAAAATAATCCATTTTAGAAAATTAATTATTGAGTATATAAAGTGCTTTCATTCTTAGAATCTATAATGCGAATGGGCTGGATCATAATTAATACTTTCTAATGTGATTCTAATAAAGGTGTCTCTCCAATCAAGTTTGACAGCCTACTTGCCCAACTTGGCTCTTATTCTTTCAGGATCTTAATAAAACAAAAGTGAACTTTAAAATTGTTCCAAAAAGAAAAGTAAAATTGCATATGCTATTCTGTTCTAATATCTTTGTATTTACCTAATATTGCTAATGCCGTAACTGGAGAAAATAATCATTTTAAAGTTGTTTTTGCCCACAAGGCTATCTATTAATCCCTTCATAAGGAATAGATATATTGTTAATGGGTGCAACCTTAATACAGCTACATTTCACAATGTCTGCCCTGTCTGTTTACACTATCATATGTGTGCATCTTTATTTTTATAGTAAAAAAACACTTTAATGATTGAATGAATAATATTTTGAAGTCAAATCATATAGTATAAGTTACTTTTAGTGTAACAAGTATGCAGGACTGGGGCTGGGGTTGGTGCTCAGTGGTAGAGCACTTGACTAGCATGTGTGAGGTACTGGGTTTGAGACTCAGCACCACATAAATAATAAACAAAATAAAGGTATTGTGTCCATCTACAACTAAAAAAATTTTTTAAATATGCAGGACTGAATCTTGGTCCACACCTGCACTAACTGTTTATAAGATAGTGTTACTGAGTAAATGGCACTCTCCAGTCACTATGAACTATTTGGGAAAGGACTATAGCAATTTCTCAGTATATATTTATGATTTATATAAATGGATAGGTTTTTGAAACTTTATATAAATGCTTGCTATTAAAACATCACAAACTCCCAAAACTTCTAGATGGGATAATACCTATATTTGGAGCCTTCTGAAGGAAATACCTTCTATCAACATAGTTTCCACCCCTGCAGTAAACTATTTGGGTAACATTTCCTGTGTGAGTTTATGTTAAGGTTCTGGTGACCCAACTTGCCACCTGATCCAATAAGTATTTATTGCAATCTATTGCTACCCATTGTATTCGCCTGGTTTCTTTCTACAGATAGAAGATGAGGGAGCATAATGCTTCTAAGACAGATGTTGGTGTTTTCAAAGTTTAACAGAACAGTGAACACATAGGGACATTCACAAATATGTCCTCTATACCATTAAAATACAGGGACTCAGCAACAAATAGGATGTGTATATGTGAGATTATCAATGCCCCCTTTAGTCCAATAACAAGGCCATATTGCTCTAAATTAATGGTTCACAATAAAAGGAATAGAGAATCACCAACTCTTGGGTTATAAAGATTTCTCAGGTTTGCTTTCAGCCTTTATCCACTGTTTATAATACTCTTCAGGAATGCTAAAATAGACACATTGACTCAACCATGGAAATAATTCCTATAGTGGATGAGGATGACTGATAAAATTGCAAGAGAAAACTTAGGGTTTCCATAAAAAAAACAAATGCATTAAAACCCAAGCAAGTGTCTGCAAAGCTTTCACATCTCATAATTTCAGTAATAAGCAAAATATTCAAGGAAGAAAATACCAAAGTTCTTTAAAATTTACCTTTTTAACATATAGATAAAGATTTATACCCAGAGAAACACAACATTAATTGCTATAGTACAGGTGGATCATTTGTTCCCTACCAACATCAAAATGACTTTGATGAAAATATCAGCATAAATGAATCAAATTAATTTTTAAAAAGAGAGTTTGGAAGCTGGATGTAAAAGATCTGCTGACTTAGTTGGATTTCAAAAGCTAAAGGTATTTCAAAGCAAGAACTTTAAAGATAAAATTATAAAATTACCCATCCTCTAGGATCTGAGCCAATTACTACTCTAAGGAACAGTAAATAGGGGCTGGGGCTATAGCTCAGGGGCAGAGTGCTTGCTTCCTGAGACACTGGGTTCAGTCCTTAGCACCACATAAAAATAAACAAAGACATTCATTCCATCTACAACTATCAGTTTTTTATGTGAACAATAAATAAAATATGATTTAAGAAGGATCTTGAGACTCTACTTATCAAACAACTTTAGAAAGAGAATGATATTTGGTATCAAGTAGAACATTATGAGCACATAAGATACAATTACAAGAATTTAGAAAGAAAATGGCACCTGCTCTTTAAAAAGTGGGAAGGGTGGTTAAAACGATTTGGAAAGTTGGCTGACCATCTAACATTTTAATTTCCATCAAAAGTCCTAACTTTTACACAAACCATTAGCACTAATATAGATACTCAAAACCAAGTGTTTTCAGAATCATGAGACAAATCAAATTATGTTCTTTGGAAAAATAAGTTTTAGAAGAAAGTGTCTTGTAACAGATGCTATGGACTGTAAAAAGAACCCTTATTTCCATTTAAAATACAACCACAAAACACATGCTTTAAAGACAAATGTTGGACACCTGCCACCTCTATGATATAGATGAATTCCCAAATACTAAACTGTACAGGTGGTTTACTTTTAATGCAATCCAGTGCCACTAAAACCTGTTAAAAACTTGGAATCCATACCATATGCCCATTCTCCTAAAACTAAAGTGAAAGTTCATTCCACCTGCCTCAAGTCTAGCATGAAATTAGCCAGTGGAAAAAGAAGGAGTTATAAATCACTGCTCTGTCAAGTCGAAAACCAAGCATGTAAATTGCTGAGACCAAAAAAGATTCTTCCCTAAGGCAAAAGTAAGAATGTTTGCTTACACCTTTATAAATAAAGTTCTGTCAAGCTGTGAGGGAAATATACTCATATCCATAGAGGTAGTCAGGGAACCAACCCTGTGAATCTCCAGTGTAATCTATTTCCACACAAAGGACATCCTCACCAGCTTCCTCCTGGGATAGTAAATAATCACTAATCATCCCAGATGGTGTGAATCTAAACTTATCAGTGACAGATAATAAATCAGGGCATTCTGATGTGTGCCATGCTATTACAGTTCCAATGATTTCATACCAACGGGACATTCAAACCGCTAAGTAGCATAATTAGTTACAGATAATTCCAAGACATTAATCATGCTTGGAATAAATCCTTGGAATAAATATTGAAAAGATTATTTCTTTATACATCTATCTATATCTATATATACATCCAAATACCTTAAAAGGATTAATTTGGTCCTGGGCTTGTAAGCATTCAGGGATTTAAAGTACACAGCACTTTTTAATACATAGCATTGATATTACATCACATAATTTATAAAATGAAGCACTATCACTTTGCAATTTCTAAAATTTTTTTCAAACATTTTATTTTATAGTCAAGAAAATCAGAATCTGACTTTATTTCAACTGTTTCTTGAAATAATGCAACTGTACTTTTGTCAAGGAATGCAATACCCACTCCAGAAATAACTATGGAACAAGTGAATTTTGTTTAGGAATTTAGTGCTTATTTCAACATTTTAGCTACTTTGAAGAAACATATCTTATGACATTCCTCAAGATTCTTCAACCTAATGCCCCATTCAAGTTGACTTTCTCTGGGATGAAACTCTGATCATTTATTTTCTGAAGACTCTCTTCAGAACTTACTCATTTTATGTCTCATTTTCTTAAAATCAAAATCTTCACTAGCTACTCTCAGTAATCAAGCCAAACTCAAGTATTAACAACTAAAAACAACTCAATGGAAGTTTGCCTTCCCCAATTTTGCGGGTATATATTAAACTGTTAAACTTGAAAGTGAGGGGACAGTTGGGTGTGTTATATTGGTGTGTGTGTGTGTGTGTGTGTGTGTGTATATATATATATATATATATATATATATATATATATATATATATATATATATATATATATAGGCTCGACAAACAGTGACATATGTGCAAATAGTTTGTGTCTGGAGTTGGTCATGATATAACAAGCCAGCCCAGGTTATATGAGCTACCAACATGAGATGTTACATACATTCAAGAGCATTATATGCTAAAAATGCCATACCACACTCATGTGCACTTCTGCTAGATGATCCATAAATTGTCTATCACACAAAATGCTAAGTCCACTCCCAGATTATAAACCCTTTTATATAATTTATAGTGGTTTTCTAATTCAGAATATTTTAATTTACATGAAATCAAGTCAGTTTATTCTTTAAACTTTGGTGTCTAAATTCTTGCAAATTCTCCTTTCTATAAATTAATGGAAATATTCCCTCAAGTTATCTATAAGTACCTTTACTTTTTAAATCTTCAATCTATCTGGAATTTATTGTTATAAAGACTTAACTTTGTGGGGCTGGGGTTGTAGCCCTGAGTTCAATTCTCAGCACCATATAAAAATAAACAAAAAATAATAAAGACATTGTGACCAGCTACAACTGAAATTTTTTTTTAAAAAAAACTTAACTTTGTGCTTTCTTCAGCAGCACATACACTAAAATTGGAGTGATACAGAGAAGATTAGCATGGCCCCTGTACAAGGATGACACAGAAATTCATGAAGCATTCCATAAAAATAGATTTAACTTTATACTTTCCAAATTGGTAGATAATTATCCTAATAACATTAATTTTAAAAGTCAATGCTTTGATCTAAATTATTATTAATAGGATACAGTTTAAATCAATTACAATATATAGATGATAGAATACTTTGCAGCATTTTTGAGGAATGTATAAAAATTCCAACAATATATGTAGGTTAGCCTGTTGAAGAAAAATATATACATTACAAACCTATTGAAACAAATCTTTTTTTTGTGTGTGTGTGTGTGTGTGTGTGATATACTGGTTTTTTTGTTTGTTTGTTTGTTTTTAATTTTTTATTGTTGGTTGTTCAAAACATTACAAATTTCTTGATATATCATATTTCACACTTTGATTCAAGTGGGTTATGAACTCCCATTTTTACCCCGTATACAGATTGCAGAATTACATCAGTTATACATCCATCGATTTACATATTGCCATACTAGTGTCTGTTGTGTTCTGCTGCCTTTCCTATCCTCTACTATCCCCCTCCTCTCCCCTCCCCTCCCCTCTTCTCTCTCTACCCCCTCTACTGTCATTCATTTCTCCCCCTTGTATTACAAATCCTTCTTCTGTATATACAAATGTCTGCATATTTGTTTAAATACTGAAAACTTCTAAAGACATACTTTTATAGTGTAAATATGAGATGTCTCCCAAAAACTCATGTGTAAGACAATGCAGGAGGTTTAGAGATGAAATGATCACATTAGGAGAACCTTAATCCAATCAGTGAATTAATTCTCTGATAGGGATTAACTGATGGGTAACTAAAAGCAGGTAGGTTGTGGCTGGAGGAGGTAAATCATTGGGAGCATGCCTTTGGGGTATAGATTTTGTCCCTGGTGAGTAGAGTCTCTCTCTCTCTGTTTCCTCATGTGATGTCCTGAGCTGCTTTCATCTGCCACAATCTTCCACCATGATATCCTGCCTCACCTTGGGTTCCAAAGAATGGAGTTGGCAGTCTATGGACTAAGACTTTTGAAACCATGAGTCCCAAAATAAACTTTTCCTCTTCTAAATATTCTTGTCAGGTCTTTTGGTCATGGCAGTGAAAAATTTGACTAAAACACATACAAATCAAACTGTTAATGGGTACACCTGAGGATTAGGAATTGTGATGGAAAAGAATCTTCTTTTTCAAGCTAATTTTACTTAATGTTTAAAAATCTTAAAGTAAAAATACATGTATTTTGCATTTTAATGTAAATTTTGCAAACTAAAACAATTCCTTAATGTCAACCAATAGTATAATTAAAACATACCTTCCAAATCATTTAATATATATTAAAAACGACTTGATAAATACCTCCTATCTCAGGGATGGGGCTCTAGCTTAGTGGTAAAGTGCTTGCCTCACATGTGGGAGGCACTGGGTTTGATCCTCAGCACCACATAAAAATAAATAAAGATACTCTGTATTCATCTACAACTAAATAAATATTTTAAAAAAAAACTCCTATCCCTTCCTTACTTTGTTGCACCGTAACATGAACAAGAAATGAACATTTATTGAGTTTAGCCTCAGAGAATTTGGAGTTGTTACACCAGTTAGCCTACAGTGACTAAGACAAGCCTCCAGTCTTGTTTCAATGACCTTACTTACTAATTAGGAAAACGAAATGTGCATATAAAAATTTGAGACATCAAAGCAGCATATGCATACAATGTTCCTGGTAGTAAGGACTATAAAAATGAAATTAAGAAGAAATCCCCCAAAGAGTTTCACATAAGAAATAGGACAGAGGGCTGGGGATGTAGCTCAGTGGCAGAGTGTTTGCCTAGCACACGTGAGGCACTGGGTTCAATTCTCAGCACCACACAAAAATAAACAATAAAATAAAGGCATTGTGTCCATCTACAACTACAAAAAAATTAAAAAAAATAGAACAGAGATGGTCCAGTTTTGACAACATGATGAGGGAGTATAGAAAAGTGAGTAAGCATAGAATAAGAATAAACATTAAATTGATGAATTTCATTGGAATAGACTCTCTTTACTAAGAAGTAGTGAAGTTAATATTAAAAATATAGGTTAGGGGGCTGGGGCTGGGGCTCAGTGGTAGTGCACTTGCCTGGCATGTGTGAGGCACTGGGTTCGACTCAGTACCGCATAGAACTAAAAAAAAAAATAAATGCCTACTAAAAACTAAACAATAGGCTAGGGATATAGCTCAGTTGGTAAAGTGCCTGCCTTGTATGCACAAGGTCCTGAGTTCAATCCCTAGCACCACCAAAAAAAAAAAAAGAGTTAAATGAGTGAGTATTCTGGTTGGTCCACAGTAAGCACTCAAAATACATTAGTTGCTATCTGTTTAAAAAAAAACTAAACAATAAAACTAAAAAAATTAAAATATATATATCTAGGTTAGAACCTAATTATAGGGAATCCTCAATTTAGGCCTAAGGATATTGAACTTTCTCATGCAGAATCATTATGACAACTAGACATTATTTCTCATGCCAATGCCAATTGCTAGGGAAGGCTATGTCTTTACCCGGTTGAAAAAGACTCAAGTTATACTAAGTACAGTAAGAAAGGACTTCATAATCCATTAGCAATCTTTGACATGGAGTAATGGAGGCATTATTCTGTAGTTGATACATGCTAACTCTTCCAGAGGCAAGGACATTTTTGAGATGTGGAGAACTAAGTAGATCTCACAGTGTTTTTTTTTTTTTAATTTTTTTTCAGTTGTGAATAGATACAATATCTTCATTATTTTTATGTGGTGCTGAGGATAGAACCCAGTGCCTCACATGTGGAAGGCAAGCACTCTACCACTGAGCTACAGCCCCAGCTCTTTAAAATTTTTTTGAAAGATAAATGTCACTTAATGTTGGTGAGACAAGAAAGATAATTTGGAAAGAGAGCAATAGGACTTCGTGAGGCCTGTGGCAAAGGAGGAAACAAAGATGACACTAAGGTTTTAAGTACTGTCCTTTAGATTATCTCTATTGCCATATATATCTAAAAAGAACAAATAGAAATAAATTAAAAGAGAATGTCCCCCTTTTTGTATTTCTTCAATAAACTCATGCCTCTAAAAAACCAAATAAATTAAAAAATTAAGAACATTAAAAATAGATTATATCTTTTTGAAAATGGTAACAATAATTTAGAGAAGAGTTCATTTTCAGGGAGATTATGAGATTTTAGAGCTGGTAACAATGTGGAAATGTCTTGTTAAACATTTGCTTGGGTTATGATATAGAAAATGCAGAATACAGAAGAAGGAAAACTTTGTTTTCCTCTTCTGGGAGACAAGTTGCTAGAAGAGAAAAAATAATCATGACTGAATTATGATTAGGCATCTACAGACAGGGGAGACAAGTTCCAAAAAAGCAATGGCCCATCGATCCATTGATTGGAAAAAAGAATTGAAAGTGTTTATTACCCTAGTTTAATCAGTACTGTTGCATACATGTATTGGATTATCATACTTACTCCATAAAGTGGTATAAATATGCCCATCACTGTGGCATACACCTGTAATCCCAGTGGCTCAGGAGGCTGAGGCAGGAGGACTGCAAGATCAAAGCCAGCCTCAGCCACTCAGCAAGGTTCTAAGCAACTTAGTGAGACATTGCCTCAAAATAAAAAATAAAAATGGACTGAGGATGTTGCTCAATGGGTAAGTGCCTCTGGGTTCAATCCCTGGCATCCCCCCATACAAAAAAAAGCAATATAAACTTAAAAAAATAAAATGGATATGAAAAAAGAACTATATATTTCTTTCTCAAAAATGACATTTAAAGAAAGCACAATTTTGCAATGCAATACATAGTTCTTCTTAACCTTTATTACAAAAATTACAAATGAAGATGGATAACTTTGGGCTGTGGTTGTAGCTCAGTGGCAGAGCACTTTCCTAGCATGGGTGAGGCCCTGGGTTCAATCCTGAGCATCACATAAAAGTAAATTAAAATAAAATGTACAAAAAATACAATAACATTATCTTTTTTAAAAAGATAATTTTAAAATTTGTAAAATTCTTGTTACTTAAAAGTTAAGCTTGACTTGCTTTTAATTGAATTGACATTTTAGCTACATTTTTTTATATTTAGAAGAAAAATTTGCCTGAAAAATCTACCTGAAATCACATAGGTGCATGGTAAATTCACAATTGATCATTTGAGCTTCACTACTACCCAGTGAAAGGATCAATCTGGGATTTCATTCTCCACTGTAGAGACTGATTTAACTTCTAGCTAAAAACATGATCTGATTTGCCTAAATCCCTGTGTAAGTTCACTGATGATATCAGAATAAGAATTGAGGTCTCCTAACTCCAAATTCTGTGGGTTTATTTTTTTAGAATATCACAGACATACTGCCAGAATGGCATATTTGTTTTCACATTGGCCTTTTAAAATGTTACATATTATTATTTTGCATAAAGAGACTGTTAGAAAAAATAGATAAGGAGCCCACTATTAAGTTGTGTGTATTTGCCCCAAACAGAGCAAGATTATGCCCTTTATGAAAGCTTGAGGTTAGTCCATAACACCACACTCAAGAAAGATTTATGATCTCACACAATATTTTACTGCTGTCATTAAAAGCAAGTGGTGAGATAAAGTGGTTTCAATTACACAATGAAAGTCTTGTCCTATTTCAAAGACACACTGAATTAAAAATGCTTAAAGTAATTGAGTTACTGTTTTCCCTTCTGTTCCAAAATATATAACATCATGAGAATGAATGAATTTTCTTATTTTATCTATTATTTATAGTGAACAAATACTGCATATGCTGGGAAAATAATAATCCATACCAAAGCAGATTATTTTCCTTTTTCCATTGTTCTCTGTGACTAAATTGCAAATTTGGGAATCTCCAAAAACTACTAAATGCTTTTTGTTTTGTTTTGGTGTTTGGTTTTTGTTGGTACTAAAGATTGAAACCAGGACCTGGAACATGCTAAGCACATGCTGTACCACTGAGCTAGACCCCAACCTCTCTATACAGGTTTTTAAGCAATATG